AGAGAGAGAGAGAGAGAGAGAGAGAGAGAGAGAGAGAGAGAGAGAGAGAGAGAGAGAGTCCCTAATCCTAATCAAGCCTTACCCTTACTTGACCTACCCCGTCCCCCGTTCAGGACTCGAATCGGTTCATCACTAAGTGAGAGAAAGACTGATCATTACATGTGTAATTGGCTTACACATGCTCATAGACCTATGGAGGCGACAGGGTCTGATCCGGTGTCAGGACAGAAACCCCTTTGAGGGTTTCTGCCCGTTTTTTTTTAGGACAGACACTGTTCGACGTTTTTGTTGGATTGAGAGATCTTTGTCGGACACTGTCTGCCTCCATTTGATAGGTTGGGAAATTCGACGAGATTGACGTTGCCAAAGTTCATTCAGACCACCCCTATGACTGTGAGACCTAATTTTTTTTAGAACATGACGTCGTTGACGTGCGACGTCGTTGACGGCTGATCGAAACAGCGGAAGTCGGCAGTATGACTTGCCACCCGTGGTTCCCGACAAGGCCGCAGGGGTGTGCGGTCGTGGGTAGACTAATGCTAGGCTTATTTTACCTAAAAGATGTCGCGCGGCTTAGCAGCCGCGCGATTCAGGGCCTAAGTAGGCTAAAAAGAGGGCTGCGCCGGGTATAGAGCCGTGGCACAGGAGGAATAGGAAGTCTGGGCCTGCAAGGCCGCATGCAGGGAAAATGAATGGGGCGAAGTTCTTCTCATAGAAGAGTTGCTCTTATCACTATTGTGATAGGAGCTAGCCCAGTAGGTTATGATGTTGGACTTTTGCCCAGCGGATACCGGGATCAAGCCTGGCCACACACAACCTACTGGGCCAGCTCCTTTTGGAGCAGCCCAGTTTTTCTGGTGCGGCCGTTTTTGGCCGTGCGATCGATGAGATCGCGCGGCTGAAAACAGCCGCGCAGAAATTAGCATGGCCCTGCGCGAGCTTGATACATATAACAAAATAATAATAATAGTAATTAAAAATAAAATAAAATAAATAAATAAATAAATAAAAATGTTGAATCCATATGGATTCGAACTTGGATCTGTACGTCAACAGGGTCAAGGACCCATTAGCAAGGAAGATTGGACCGAACGCCTGAATCTGGGCGTGTTCGTGGAGAGGATGTCGGGAGTGGAGACTGAACTGCTTTTTTGCATCTCCGCTTAAAACACATCCGGATTCAGGAGCTTAGCCAACCCTCTTTGCTAGTGGGACCTTGCTCCAGTCGTGGTGGATCCACGAGGTGGCCGTTGGCATAAGCCAACGGCAGGACGAAAAAGAAAAAAAAAAGGAAAAAAAAAACAACTAAAACTAACTAAAAGTGAAGCGCCAGGTGGCGCTGCGAGAAGCGACTGGGACGTTTTGAGTCCCAGTGCACTCGACGACGCCTGAAACAGGCGACCGTTTTTTGGCAGCCGAGGTAAGTTTCTTTTCTTTTTTTTCCTTTTCTCTCTTTTTCTAATTTTCTTTTCTTCTTTGTTTTTTTAGATTTTCTTTAGATTCGCCCTAGCTTTTTTAGATTTTTTAGATTCTTTAATCTTTTTAGATTTTCTGATTGTTGTCCGTGATTTTCCTGAATGTGCCCGTTCGTTTTGACGAACGGGCTGGACAGACATCTATAGGACTTGCAAAATCGTATGTATCTACTGCTAGAACATGAAAATATGCAACTACGGCAACTACTACTACTACTACTACTACTACTACAAGGGGGAAGAGGGTCTGCCTGGCGGTGAACGGGAGAACGTAGTGGCCGACAGGTAAGTCGCCTTGAATCTCTCCCTCTTTTCCCTGTAGGCCGACTACTGCGCCTGTTCGTTAAACGAACAGGCTGTAGAAAGGACGCATGCACCAGGCGCTGTTTGCGCCCGGGTACAGGCGCGCAGGGCAAGGGAAAGAGGGCCCTGTTGAGCTTGACTCTA